ATCAACCTTACGATATCCAGCTGGTGAAGGCATGAAAACCTTCATTTGCTTCTCAGAGGGAAGTGACGAGTATATGGGAAAAGTTAAGAGCTTCCTATTGCATTCAGGTAATTGTCGGAGGCGTTCATGGATAAGCCTCTCAACGGATTCAATCTCTTCTTGGCCAGTAAGGAATACAAGTATATCACCGGGACCCTCCTCTAGATGTATCTAGGAAAACAAGTTAGAAAGAGATGAATAGATAATAAGACATTCAGCAACACCACAAACTATAATCTTAACTAATTGAACTCCCAACGCTACGTGAAACATTAAAAATTAGCTACGGAAAAAAGCCAATGTTAGTAGGAAATCAAGCAAATGGAGCTTATAAGATACTATGAGAAAGCAACAACAAAGGATAAAAATGCTGTGTTTTTGTGAAAATTTTTAGTGACATTGTCGTTCAGTTCAAACCTGAAATATAGTAATCAAAGCTGCATCTATGCAATCTGTCTCAGGCTTATGGGTATAGAATATATCGACAGGAAACTGCCGTCCCTGAACATGAACAGCTCTTGCACCACCAAAGTACTCTGAGAAAACTCGTGCATCCAGACTAGCTGACATGATGATCAATTTCAATGGGTTATACTTTTTCGCTTGACCTGGCTTCAAAATACCATTATTCTGATTGTCAATCCTCCCCTCCGAGGCATGCCCGTTATTAGAATTATTATGATCAGTATTTACCACTTCGTTGATACCCTTTGACCTTGCTTTCTGTACATTCTTTAACAAGCCAAGCAATACATCAGTGTGGATAGTTCGCTCGTGCGCCTCATCAACAATAATAACAGAATACTTGGAGAGGTATGGATCCAATAATGCTTCCCTGCAATAGTGACATGTCATTCGCCATTTGTAAATGCTTTTTCTAGACGCATACAGCTGTTGATAACCATAAATAGCTATATCTTGTGATGTAAGGTAAACTCTACGTGGAACTTGAACAATCACTCCATACATGTACCATGTATGCAACAATCGAGTCCATAGTCATGGGTATATATTACTTCTTTTTTTGGGGGGGAAAAAGCAAGACTCATGGACATTATGCATCAAACTATTCTTCCTTATTACCTTAGAAGCAAACCATCTGTCATATATTTGATCTTTGTTAGGCCAGAAGTTACATCTTCAAATCTAATAGCATATCCAACTTTTTGTCCCAGCGGAACTCCACATTCTTCAGAAACACGTTTAGCAACAGTAATAGCAGCCACACGTCTAGGTTGAGTTATCCCAATGATACCACCATCACGGCAAAATCCCCCTTTAAAAAGATACTGAGGTATTTCTGCAAAATATGCCAGGATAAGATAAACCATGTAACACATACCTATTTGTATCTGATGAAAAATACAAAAGACACAACTTTCAAGAGTATTCTGGTGTATTTATTTCTATAGAATGAATAACAAATGTTGTTACTTAGAGAGAGAGAGAGAGAGAGAGAGAGAGAGAGAGAGAGATGGAGGAAATTAGCAAAAGAGAATTTAAGAATAATCTCAGAATTCATAGGCCAATACATATAAGTTCATTATCAGGATGTATAATTAGGACACACTCAAAATATCAAACCGACGAAACAGAGTGAGCTGTCTAACGACAATCCAGTTAATACTTTCAGGTGCACAACTCAAGCAGTTATGACCAAATCACAAACTTTCGCTAGCCACCACAAGAGTTCCTCAGTTTATGGCTAGACCAAGTTACTGAGGGTTACTTGGATCTAACAACTTTCTTAAGATTATAGCGTCCCCGTCCTAATTCATCATGCTTCCTGCTGTCAATCCTCACATTCCCTCTCATCCTCAAACACACTCATCTACCAAAAGGTAAGAAATATCCTAATTCTTCTAACAGGAGTCCAAAACAAAAATAATAAGCAAAAAATGAAAAACAATAGAGGGTTGGATGCAACCTCGGCATGCAATTGCAAAAATAAAAAGTTTACAGTGCACAGATGACTTCCTTAACCCCTAAGAGTTAATTAGTGTTGTGATTACTAAATCCATACGTAAATCATCTGTGACATGTTCATCAAAGTATCAATGAATCAAATATGTCATCGATCTTAAAGATTTCACCAGTACTATAATGCTTGACTTGCACAAATATACAGAAAGACACCTTATACACCTCAGTAGAGACTGAGAACCAACACATAACCCAACGCACAAATACACTGATAAAGAAGAAAGATGCAACATGTGTACATCAGAAGGTTAGAACTACACTATGAAACATCGTAAATGACCACCTTCGTTGATGTATCATTTAAAGTAGTGCAAAGCAAATGATTCTGCTTCAAATGCATGTCATTCAGTCCAAGAGGACTTGTAGCAAAGTACTTACGAGTTGTCTTTCCACTTCCAGTTTCTCCAACGATTATCAGAGTGTCATTGTTCCGCACCTCCTCCACTAGTCTCCTTTCAACTAGACTCAATAAAATATCACATGTAAGATGAAGAACAAAAGAATACTGCAAACTGAAATCCAGAACAGACGAAAACTAAATAAAACAGAAATAGGATTAGAATGAAAAATAATGCAGGCACTGTCTTCTCAAGTAATGACACACAGCATGCATCCCTTTTTCTCCTGAACAACCACAGAACCCTAGAATGTCTAGAGAAAAAACAGCTGCAACCACCAGAAAAAATTAATTTCCCACAGACTCCTTGTAACTGGTAAAGTTGTTGCCATGTGACCAGAAGGTCACGGGTTCGAGACGTGTAAACAACCTCTTGCAGAAATATAGGGTAAGGCTGCAAACAATAGACCCTTATGGTTTGTCCCTTCCAAGGACCCCGCACATAGCGGGAGCTTAGTGCATCGGGCTACACTTTATAGACCATATACTCTTTGAATTAAAAATGCCAATTTCCAACAAAAACTCATTTACAAAAGAATACGACAAGGACAATATCGCGCAGTCCAAAACAAGTTGGGGTCAGCTATATGAATCCTCACTTCTCCATTTAAGCTCAACTCATATAACCGTATTTACTGATTCTTTTATAAATATTGTATTTGTAAAAGAATCAGTAAACTAAGAAGCAGCTCACATTGGAATAATCAGAACATGGTTAAAATAAAGACAGAGAGCAGACATAGAATAAAGGGTTCAAATTAAACAACTAAAACAATACCTGCAGCAATTGGTAAATTTTTTCTCTGTTGCTCAATCTTTTGCTTCCTGCAAAAATTGTACACAAAAAAGATCAAACCTTTTAACAAAAGTGAAGCAATGTTTAGCTTCAGGGATTGAACAAACAAGGGATAAAAGTAAATTAGACAAATGGGGTATGCTAAAAAGTAAAAAACCTGGCAAAAAAATCCCCTTTTGTTTGGTTAGGGTGATGCTGATGACTGTTTCTTGAAAAATTATTAGCACTCATTGAAGGCATGTCTCAAGATTTGCTCCCAAAATTCAAAAGGTCGAAACTTTGTAAGCGTGCAAAGAACTGACACTATTGAATTCTTGAGCAGCCCTAAAGAAGTGTTAAACCGGACCGGTTCAGTCGCAATAATATTTTCGGAAAGTTTTTAAATTATTTTTTCGATTTTCTTTCTCAACTATTGAAGAAAAGTTTTAAAGTCTTTGCAAAACCTGAAAAATTATACTAATAAGTTTGATTGAAAAGTTATTTCTTTCTCCCACGATTTCGGATTGCTAATTGTCTTTAATGTGGAATTATTTTTGAAATACAAAAAATGATATAAGAATTTATATATTATAAATTATATATATTGAAATTATTAGATATTCTTGTGTCAAAAGGATAATTTATATGTAGTAAATAAAAAAAAATTTAAGCATAATATATTCCGCACTTGAACCTGTTTTTAACATAAAACTTCAGGAATTTATTTAGAGATTCTTTTTGTAAAGGGAATTTATTTAAAGATTTTAATGTGCGTTCTTCTTGTTTTCTGATTGTTCTTATCTTTTGCTTAGAAGCTTTCTTTGTGTAAACTACTTAAACCATTTCTTTATTTCCAAAGTTAAATATGAATAAAAAATTGGAATGAATTATTTTCACCGATTTTAATTTTAATCCATATTAAATAATTCGCCAGAAGAACCATATTGCATCAATTTCATTACTTCTTGCATGTTCACATTATGGAAAGGAGTTTAAATCTAACCAAAACCAATATTTTCAACGTGAAATATATAAAATAATTTGTTAATATTAGTAGATGGCACCATTCTTTGTAAAGAATGAACTTTGTGTTCTTTGTGTACTTCAACTATTTTACCGGACGTTTGTTATCTCCCAATAGTACTGGTATCAGGTAAAACTTCCTACAAGAACTTAGGCAGGTACAAAAATAATGAGAAATTTTCATAAAACACTATCTTTTAGTGTTAATTAACTATTTATAGATATTATTTGCTATATTACGGATTGTAGATACGTTTTCTGTTGTTATAAGATGTATTAGATATATTTAAGCTATTGTATTCATGAATACAGTAGCAAAAATAGGCGTGAATCAGGGAAGTCAAGCTAATCAGTTGTTGTATTCGACTGTATTCATGGCGTGAAACATGAGAATACAGCTGGACAGATTATTGTATTCGACTGTATTCACGGCGTGAAACAAGGGATTACACTATTTTAAACGGAAAGTGAATCAATTAACATAATAGACTCCTAATATAACTCAACAAACTCAATTACAACACACAAATTTTGTATTTCCAATTATAAAAAAAGATCCTCAACCGAAAAATAGCCCAAAAACATAGCAGTCTTCACATAAATATATAATACATCTGAATACATAAATTATATTAATTAAAAAAAACATATGAATACATTCATGGCATATAACGAGACAGTGAATATAATAAAATAGATAGAATACAACGGGATACATTGAAATCAATGAAAACAAAGACAGTGAATACAATAAAATATATGGAATACAGCGAGATACATTGAATTACAATGAAAAATAGACAATGAATACAATGAAATACATAAAAATACAACGTGATATATTGAAAATACATTGAACTATATTAATAGAAAACGAAGTTGCTCAGCCCAATGGATCCCCGAATCCGATCCAATAAATTACCAATTGGCGCCTCAGTTTTCGGAATACTCCTCTTAGCTTCATTTGAAAAGCACTAAATACATCATCAATCAGAGATATATAGACGATTCAGGTAGTGTATTCAAAACCCTAGGATCGCGATGAGCCCGTGAACGGAAAAAGGAAGGAATCATGATGCTGAGCACACCACCATTGAAGCGAAGGGCACGGAGCAAGCAACCTGAAGATGGTAGTCCGAACTCCGGCAATCGGCAGCTCATCATCTACGAGGATACGTCGTTACTTGATTCGGAAACGAGATCCAAATAAAGGCTCTTGAGATTCAACCTTAACCCTTCTGATATTAACTTGATGGAGAGGGCTGCGCATCCATGACAGCCTATACTACACCATGTCGCCCTAGATATAGAGGAGAGAGCGTGGGGTTTTTGACTAATTGTAGGTGATGTGGGTGAGAGGAATTTTGAGATTGAGCATCGTGCTTTAAGGGTATGGGGGAAGAGAATGACATGTATCAAAGTAGAGAGAGAAAGAAAATAGTGTAACTGAATAGTGTATTTAGTTGCTTAGGGGTAGGAAGTAACCAAAATTAGATATTTTGCTATAAACATTAAAAGGTATCAATAGAATATAATTTTTAAAAATGGTATTTATTTAAAATAAATATGGTGTTAACCTTTGCTATAAGAGATAAAAATTCCAAAAAAAAAATTGCCTACAAAACAAACGTGAACAGAAGAAAAGGAAGACCCGATAACCCGCATATCATTTATGGATGACTCTGAATATTAAGAAAAAAGGCGGAACACACATATGACTACTTAAACTTGTCCAATATTGTCACTTAGTTACCTCAAGTGAGACTTGTACGTATTAAATATTTCAACTTCACTCAATATGTGTCTATCAACCACAAAAAATTAATATAGTGTGTGTATTTCACAAGCGCTGACATGGCATGATTAACAAATAAAAAGAAGTCACATGGCTCTTTTGCCTTAAGTTAATAAAACCCTTTTAAAAAATGGTTTTAAGAGATAACCCCCCTCCCATGTGCGTGTCAAATTCCCCCCACCCCTACCCACCCCCAACTCACCCACTTTTCTTCTTCACCGGAATTTTTTTTGCACTCCCCTTTACTCATTTTTTTTAATTTCAGAACTAACCTACTGTAAAAGGAGCATACACATCTCGGGTTATAGTTTTAGGAAAAGATTATACTTTTGTTACTTGCTCTCTTCTCTCTCGTCAGGTCCGTCGTCGGCGATCATTGGCCGGAATTCGGTCACCACTGTTTCAACCTCTATCTTCCCACTGTGGGGTCCATCCCACTGGTTGGCAAAAATTGGCAATAGCCTTATGCCTATTTTGCCTATACTATGGCAGAGATCTTTGGTGAAAAATCTTACTTGGAGCCAAAGTTTGAAAATAAGTGAAGGAGATTAAAAATGCTCATGTAGCACACTTGGAGCTTACGACTCTTTTCTCCTATAAAAGGAGGACCTCTTCATCTCTTCAAACACCAACAAAGAGAGAAAGAAAGAGAGAGGCATTATACATATGGTATAAGAAAATAGTCTGAGAGGAAAATAGATAGTGTGAGCGATATTAGAGTGAGGTGGGAATATCAAAAGAGAGTTATTTCTTTTGAGTGTTGTAGTGGTCTCTGGAGTATTTTAATTGGACCTATAAAGTGTAAAATTTCTTGCTATAGTGATGCTAGTTGCTACTCTCATGGGTCTTGGTTTTTTTCCTTATTAAGAAGGTTTTCCACGTAAAAATCTTGATGTCGTTGTCGCTCTTTTATTATTGTCGATTATCCTATCTCGGTGCTACATTATTATTCCGCTTTTATTACCGTGAATATTATTTTTGTGGAGGGTTTATTCCCAACAACTGGTATCAGAGCACATGTTCTGCTCATTTACGAAAATACTATTTGTGAACACCTAATTTTTGACAACATTTAATTTTTTATCACTTTTTTTATGTAAATATTTTAGGGGATTTTAACCTACTATTATTTTAGCTTTATTACACTTTTTATTATAGGATAAAAATACCAAAAAAAAATTAAAAGGTGAATTATCACTATTAATATTTTTTTTTATTTTTTGTTTTTTTATATAAAAATAAATCCGAAAATATTTATTTTTTAAAAAATAAAAAATAATTTCGGGAATGATTTAAAAAATAAGAAAAAGGTAAGTATTGAATAAAAAAATATAAAAGTAAAAATAGGTGGAATTCTCTTTTAAAAAAAAGTAAAAGAATGTAGAAAATTAAAAAAAAAAATAAAAAATTTTGTGGAAATTTTAAAAAATTAAAAAGTAAAATAAGGTTGTAATTAAAAAATAAATATAAAGTTATCTGAAAAATTAAAGTAATTGAAAGTAGCATTTTTAAAAGAAAAAGAAAAGGAAAGTGGTTTGTTTTTTTAAAGAAAAGTTAAATAAAGTGAGATTCTCTTTTAAAAAAATAAAAAGTGGGATTTTAAATAAGATAAAAGTAATTAAAGTTGGAATTTTAAAAATAAAAGTAAATAAAGGTAGGATTTCTTTTTATAAAAAAATAAAAGCAATTTGTAAGTGGAATTTCTTTTAATTAAAAAAAATCTGAAAATTTCAAAAAATTTGCTATAAATAGAAGAGAAAATTTAGGAAGAAAGGGTTCAAAAAAGAGGAAAAAATAGATAGAGAGAAGAAAAAAAGAGGGGGCGGAAAGAGCGGTATACACTTGATATACACTCTGGATACACAAGATATACAGGGACAAAATTCATTTTGGAGAGAGTAAAAAAAATAGAACTAAATTTTCTGAAATATTGAGAGCGGAAGAACATCAGAGAGAGTTCAAAGCTAGAAAGAGAAAACAAAAAAAGATTTTCGGACTATTTTTCTTCTCCATTTTTACTAGTTTTCTCCGTGTTACCGGGATTTCTGGATTGAGGTGTTGAAGCTACTGTGTTGGGTTTTCTGCTGCTGTATTTTGCTGTGTTACTACTGTTGCTGACTGCTCCTTCTTCTTCTTGTATTTCCATTATCCAGGTACATGTTCTACATCTCTCAAATTTAAAGGAAAGGAAGTAAAGAGTTGTTGGAATGGATTTCTGAAAATAACTATTTCTTTGTGTTTAATTTGATGTATAAGCAGTAGTTCACTTGATATTTCATAGTATGTATTGGAATGATTTTGAAATGCATAAACTGGACTGATTGAATCTATTTCTACAAACATGGAACATCAATTGTAATTAATCTGAGTTGGTGATTACTAGTTATGAAATATACTGTATTATATTCTTTTGTTCAGTAGTCGTGAAACAGTTTCAAAAAGTTTATGTCACGAAACAGGTTCAAATAGTTTATGAAAATCAGCATGTTGGTTAAATAGGTCTAATTCTGAAATCGCGAGT